TGCCCGTGGCCTTTTTGAAGTTCATGTGGCTGGCTTGCGCCCCCCTCTCCAGCCTGTCCAGGTCCCTCTGGATGGCAACCCTCCCCTCCAGCGTGTCTACCCTGCCAAACAGCTTGGTATCATTGGCAAACTTGCTGAGGGTGCACTCGACCCCACTGTCTATGTCACCAACAAAGATGTTGAACAGTACAGGTCCCAGTACCAACCCCTGAGGAATGCCACTTGTCACTGGTTTCCACTTGGACATCGAGCTGTTGACCGCAACTCTTTGTGTGTCCGTCCAGCCAGTTGTTTATCCTCCAAGTGGTCCATTTGTTGAATCCATGTCTTATATGTATGTATCTTATCTCAACAAATTAAATATTTTATCATGTTTACTACAAGCATAGTATAAGTACATATAAGTATGTCCCATTCCGCAACCAGTACAACAAGAATTCTTTTGTTCCTTTTTCTTATTTGAAACATGTATACTGACCTGATGTTTAGACTCCACTAAACCACATTTCTTTCTAACATCTCAGTTATTTCTCAAAGCAAAAAACAAACCTACATAAGGTATTTCATCCCATTTTTCAGTTCGGCGACAAAACAATGTTAATTGCAATATAGTATTATATTTCAAAGACCCATTTTCTGGCCATTTTTCACCATCCTCCAACTGATATTGTGGCCACCATTGATTACAGTATCGCTTTAATTTATCTTTCATCATGGGGTCCCCTCCAAATTTATTCCAATTCTTTAGGATGCATCCTAGGGGAGAACAGGAGGCTGTCTCCTGAGAAACAGTAGCACCCATGTCAGTACCGAAAAAAAATTCCCTTATTCAGTGTTTACTAAAAACCCAAGGGGGACTCTAACCCTTTCTTCAGAAACGTTATTCTACGAGGGATGTCTCCCTTCATCTTCTGCCACGTATCTCCCTTGATACATCTTATGCAGACCAAAATGCTCACGGCTTCTCAGTGATTTTCCTCCCCCCTTTTCCTTATTTCAAAATACCTCTTTTCAGTAGCATTGCACCATTGTATTGCTCACCGCCCAACTGCAGGAGAGAAGCTGAAGGAGTCCCTGATCAACAGGTTGGTGCGCACCAGAGTCCACTCAGTCCTCTTCCCGTCAGATGCGGCAACACAAACCAGGCAAGGCTGTCAGCACAGTCCCATCTGGGTTGCCAGAAACTGTTGTCCCAAATATGGGTTATTTCTGGGTTCTTTACCCAGTGTGCAAGCCAATAACACAGAGCAGAGGTATTACCAGTTTATTCAATTAATGCGCAGAAATGGGGTACTCGCCCCAAAACGGCAGCACACCTTAGTTTCAAAAAATCTCCACTTTTATACATTGATTATTACATATTTAAACAATTAATACATATTCATTATTATTCTCTAATGATCAGTCGAGATTTCTTCGCTTCCTATGTAAATTAGTGCGCAGATTCTGTCTCCTTCCATTGTTCTCTTTTGAGTAAGTGGTATCATTTGGGTAGGTGGTCAATGAGTCGGTGATTGTGATCTCCCCCTGCCGAAATCGCCTTTTACCTACTTCTCCTCTACTCTTGGCGGTGGTTTTCTCGGTTTGCTGACCAGGCCTACAGTTCATCACTCTCTTGACAAGAATATGTTACTTATCAGCAAAGCTACATTGTCTAGTAGTTAGTTCCTTAATCAAATCTTAGATAAATCATGTCTAGTTACTATTTCTCTATTTTAATATTCGGTAAATAATTAAATAGGGTTGGGGATGCATAGAGGACACTTAGCAGCAGCAGGTTTCCTTAGTTGCTTCAATTGTATTGCACTTTTTTTTTTTTCTTCTAGTTAATGCCAATTTTACTACAACAGGGGGAAGGTGAGGTGTTCTAATTTTTTTACTGTTCCAACAATTTTTAAAGCATTGCAGAACGCATTACAGATAGTGCAGGTGCCAAGAAAAGAGCTGCCAGCAATTCTACCAAGCTATGAGGAGTTGGAGCTCTTTGGAATCTATCATGTTCTGGAAGAAGGCAAGAGACAGGACTTGAGGTCTTAACTCACAGCCACAAAAATCGTAAGAACTACTAATATCCTTCTGCTATTTTCTCCAAGTATATCCATGTAGCTCTACAACCAAAACATGCATTTTTGAGATTGTTTTGATGATATTATCATTCTTGGAATCTGAATCTTGAACTCAGTGATGATGCTCAACACTATTACAAATTAAAGATAACTAAGAGTTGTTGCTTCTGATCATTTAGAGACTAAGAACATCACTACTTTGCTATCAGTTTTGCTTTCGGAAATGCTAATTTTCTCAACTGGGAAAAGGGACATTTGATTTACATTTCAAATCTGAAGTTTAGATACGAAGAGCTGAGAGTACCAAATTCATCCATTATTTCCTATTTTTAATTAAAGCTTTGACTTCTATGAAAGCATGGTCATGTCAATACTACAGACAGTCCTGAAGCACACAAATCCATCCTCACTGTATTTGGAGCTACAAGTTTTTCTCAAGCACATTCTGTGTGGCTTCAGAACACAAACGAGATAGAGGAACAGCTTCATATTAATCTAAGACACAAATATATTCATATTCAAATATATGAGCCAATTCAATTATAATGAGATGGACAAAAAGCATCTCTCATTTTTTTTTAGTAACAAAGCAATCAAAATAACTCTGATAGAACCATGGGTTCTGTCAGACTGGCTGCCACTTAGAGAAAGTGAAGAGATATGAAAAGTACAAGCTCTCTGCGTAACCCAGGACTGTTCTTTGAGAACTTGAAATAGAAATATCAAGAATAGGACAAGATAAGATACATGATTATAGAAAACTCTTAAAAGCTCTCAAGCCTTTTTAATATATGTAAAATAGTCTGTGTACCTACACTTAGCTGTGTTTCTAGCTCAGTCTTTTGTCCACTTGCTTCAGATTCTGCTGCAGACTGTCGAAAATAATCCTCTGCTTGGAAACTTGTATTTTCTTTCTGAGAGACCTCTGCTGTTAAGATTTAAAAGAGTAAACAGGGAAAAGAAAAACTATAGTACCTTTATGTAACAATTAACCATTCCAAATATGATCTCACTGATCTCAGGACAAATAAAAATCTTTCTACTAGTTTCCATGGGTAATGTTCACAGAAGTCACTGTTGAACAAACACTCTACAGTACAACTTTTACAAAGTGTCAGAAAACAAAACAAAGCATCCATACCTGCAATTTTGAGCTTTTCCCTTTGCAATATAGTGGTAATAGGTGTTCTCTGGAACCAATGTCCTGCTCCCTCCACTTCCCACAAAAGGTCATGATCCCCAGGGTACTTCTCAAAATAGTGCTTACAAGCTTAACAAACATAAGAAAAAGCACACTACTATATATACTTGTCTGTACATCAGTTTTTAAAGTTTATCTGAAATCAAAGTCATTTGCAATCTTTCATCATATGCATAAACCACCACAGAAAGAACTGTTCAACAAAACAGTCCAGTCTGAAATATGTTTATAATGTATGCTTTACCCTACCTAGTAATCTGTCTCAATAAATCCTTTCTTCAGGTTTGAGCACTTTCCATTATTATCTTAAACTGCAAACAAAGATAGATGGGATTTTTTTTCCTTCTTCTCTAAGCACCCACTTTGGAGTTTTACAACTTCACTGGTCACTGTCCATGCTAATCACAAGACCCAACCAGGATCAAAGAGCTCTTCGACAGAGGATGTAGTCAAGTGATTTTTGTCACCTCATGTTATTATAGGCACCTGTGAAAAGCACTCTTTGGGAACACAATCATGTTGCCATTGCATGGTTTATCATCCACTCACTTTTGGAATATTTTCTTCTTTGCTGTCCCTCCACTTCTTTCCTCTCAATACACATACTAAACATCCACGTGGAGAGAAATGTTTTGACTTTATTCTGTAGTAGCTACCAGGAAAACTACCATTTTTCACCTGATTCACTACTGATGCATAATCTCAGTGGACAAGATCCATGCCGTATCATTCCTTAGCCAGGGAAATGGATTAGTCGTTAAATTCTGCTCAAGACGGTTTGCTGGTTGAAGCCTAACAAACCAGGTCTAGACAGATCCAACAGCAGAGAGCAGTACTTGGAAAAGCAAAAAGTTTCAAGTGCCTAAGTAAGAAGGCCAGATGAAAACATTAATAGAAGGAAGCCTGATATATTGCCTGAGAGTAGGCCTTGAGAAACTGGACAAAGGAAATGCTTCTTGCCTGAACACAGTCCCAACCAACATCGTTTCCAAAATGTGTGTCACTTCCTAGCTGACATAACCCTCTTGGGTTGTTAATGGAAGAACCATAAGTGTTTTCCTTATACATTAGAACTGTATGTCCACTTGACCAGAAGTTCTGAGAAAGCATGAATTAAATGACCTTGTGAGGCTTAGAAGCAAGCAAGAAAAAGGTACTACAAAGAAGATATACATTAGGAGATCATACACAAAAACACCTCAGCCCACTCTGGAGTCTGGGGGAGGGGAATATAGCGGTAAACTGCACAGTAACAGAAAGCCAACAGAGATCCAATAATCTAACCTCACACAGAGGATTAAAAATCTAATCAGGAAATACTTCATCATCTTCAACAAATCAGGTTTTTTAACCTTCACTGAAGAGCAGGACATTTAATACAGAAACTGAGGATGCAACCACAAACACGGAGCTTGAACAAAAGCACTCATTTAGACATGTAAAGAAAACAAAAAAGATAAGAAGAATAAAACAAAAAGCTTGCCTATGTAGATGAAGGATGACAGTGGGTATCGTAGGCCAAGAGTGTCTTCTGTAAAGGAATCCACAAAGTCTTCCAACATAACGAGCCCAAAGTCTTTCCCACGATGTTTCTTTCTTACAAACATTGTGTCTAGCACTGGCAGCTGATAACTCTGAGTAAGAGAAGAGCTACAAATACTTCCTGAAATAACAGGGAGGGGGGAATCCATCAGTACTTCAGCATTGACATGTTGCCGTATGGATTTTAGCATATTCAAATAGAGAGCTTTATAAATTATAAAAATTATATCAAAAACTTAATAAGTCATATAAATATATAAAGTTATATTAAAGTTATAAAAATAAATAATTGCTATCAGATATTTATTGGCTCTTTGGGCAGGCTTCATAATGTTGCCAAGATATATCATAGATTAATATGTTAGAAAGAGTCTGCTAAAGCAGTCCAGTAGTACCCGAAAAGAATAGCAGAGATAGAGAGGAAAGGCTCACTTTGAAATCTCACTATACAATTCCATAGGAAAACCATACTAAAAATGCAGCTGAAAAAGGGAGGAGGGAAAAGACGACAATAAAATTCTTGAATTGCACTTTTATGTAGATTATATAACTCCTCAGGACAAATATGAAGATTACAATGCAGCTCTTGTTTAAGGACTGAAACAATAATTCCAATTTTTTTAAAATGAAACAACAAAAAAAAAAATCCTAGGATGCTTTACATTGAAACTCTCCCATAAATAATACATTGTCCCTAATTAAATGAAGATGAAACAGACTGTCACAACACATATGTACTTCAGCATCAGAGGATTCAAAGGATAGCTATGGACTCAGTGGTGACAAAGTTATGCCACATAATGGCATTAAGATAGCATGTCAGCTATCCAATTCATTTTCAGGCACTCATTTTGCCAGTCAGTGTGAATAATGTAAAAAGAAAAAAAATTAAAAAAAAAAAAAGTCCTTTCCTCTAACAAGGACAAAGAGAAGCATACAGTCATCTATACAACAGTTTATCTTCACAACCTTGTACTTTTGAGACCAATGAACACACTTCTCTTCATTTTTCAAGCAAGGAAAACGTGGGCAGAGAGGTGTCGTGGTTTGGCCTCAGCCAGCAACAAAGAACCACACAGCCGCTCGCACAACTCCCACAGTCATGGAAAAAGAAATCGTCAGGGCAAAACTCGTGGGTTAAAAGAATGTAATTTAACAGAACAGCAAAAGAAAAGATGAAAACGCGATTACAGTACCGCCGCGAAGCGCACCGACCGACCCGCACAGCCGCAGCCCACCCCCAAGTGGTGACTGCTCTCCTCGCCCCGGCTAGTGCCTCTTATGCACTCGGGCATGGGTCACGTGGTATGGAATACCTGCCCCCTGCCGGCTCCTGGGGGGATTAACCCCATCCCTGCCGGAACCAGGACAAGAGGTTACATTACTTGGGTACCTTTTGGGGTCAAGTTCCACCATTCTTTCCTAACCATCTGTATCCAGAGCTGTCTTTCTCCATATGGGCTACTCATTTGGAGAATACATCACACAATCAAACATGGGTGAAATATTGAGAATGCCTTCAGTGTTTGCAAACTCAGGACAAGTAAATGGGAGAGCATCATGAAAACTATAACAAATCAGCTTGAGTATAGCAAAACTTCAGTGCCATATAAACAAGCATCCCCATTCTAGACTAAAAATAGAACCACTACTCTAATTTCCAGTTTTATAAGGCCACAACAACTACTTTGTGACCACCATGCTACAGCATTTTTTTACATTACAAATAATACTGAGAATTATACAAATTATGCAATGTATTGTTTCTTAAAAAAAAAAAAAATTCCACAAAAAGATAACAGAGACAATCAGAACAAATTAGCTGGTTGCTTTCCTATCTTGATTGCCAGACCAAAATAGGTCAGTGATCCAGACAGCTTACTACTGTATTTCTAACAGTTTGCAAAGGCATATATGTATGTCAGATGGAGGAAGTCTCCAGCGAACCTCCAGTACCAACATTAATCCTGAATTCATTAACCCCCTCTAGAGATAAAACAAAAATGCCAGATTGTTTCTTCTTGATCCAAAAGTTGATGTTCTACAAAGTGCTATCAACGTGCCAAACAGCCTACTCAAATACCAAATTTTATTGAAAAACACAATTAAGTCCAAAACAACTAAAGGGAAATTATAATGTTTTAGAAAAACAACAGAAAAATCTGTACCATTAATGACATAAACCTGCTAGCTAAACTGTAATCTCTGAGGGAATGCATGCGTGGAAGGAAAGGGAATCTCTTTTTGTTACCACCAAGTATAGCTGAATCTTGTGCCTGTGAGCAAAGTTTCTATGTTGTAATGATATAAAATGTTTAAGTGATAATGACATCTGATTCTACAATTATTTCAGATAAACAGGATCTTTGCATTCTGGAGCTAGGTAAAAACAAACCAACCAACCAAGCATAGCCCAATCTAACATTAAACAATTATTGGGGGGGGGGAGAAAAGCTTTCAGGTATACCTCATTTCTACAATTTTAAATCTATTTTGCAGAATATGAAGAAATCTAAAAACTTTCTTAAGATTACTAAAGAGCATAAGCATTTAAGCCAGAAATTTTAACTGCAATCTGACTTCTTATGAATTCAAGAAAACACCAACTTACTAGGCCTGCAAGGCTTGTAGAGTCTCTACTAAACAATATTCTTCAAATAAGCTCCCCATCCCCCACCCCTTCCACCCCCCTCAAATCCCACAATACACAAGTGTTTTACCTGTAGGTTTAACAGAATAGAACCCAATAGCCTCTCCTTTTTTCCACATGATCTTAGCATAGTCGTTGCTACCATGACAGAGAAATGGGACCTCATTTCTTTCTATTTCTTGTTTCCGATAGATAATTCGATTCAGAACATAGAGAACCACCCTCTCTCCAACAGATTTCACCTAAGGAAAACAGAAAAACACTTTAAAAGAGTGGCCAGTTTAGTTGATACTCACACATCAGGGACCTTATTTTTCAGTTCCAGCTAACACAGCTGCAGACCAAGTCAAGAGAAGCTCTAAGTGCTAAAACAGGATGAAGCTCTGGGGTTTGTTTGAGGCCTAGGAGATGCTCTGAAGCCATAGCAATAGGTTAAGTATAAAGCACTACCATAGACAGAGAATATTTCACGACTTCAATGACAATCCCAATCCAATGGATAAAAGTTGATAGAACTGCTGGGAGCAGGGTAGTGGGGGGAAGTGTTTTGATTTTAACTCAAAACTATTTGGGGATTTAGGAAACATTCACCACGTACAATAGTAGTATGCCAGCCTCAGATTTCCCAGGCTAGCGGGTAATTGGACTCCTACAAAGAAGAAATTATCAGCCTCACGGGGTAGCAGGACAACATAATCACTGCTGATAGAGTGGCAAAACAACAGGACACGATGCAGTGGAAGAACTAGTTATAACAGTTTCTGTGGCATGAAACAAGGAATTCAATATCCTTTTCTCTTTTCCGCAGGGTTCCTTTTACATATGAAATTTAAGTTCACCACTATCCCACCCACTGTGAAGGAATAAGAGAGAAACCATGTTCCCTTCCCAACCCCCAAAGTCTCTGCTACCCTACCTGTAAAAGATTCAGCTTTCCCAAATTATCATTTGCCGTGGTTTGGCCTCAGCCAGCAACAAAAAACCACGCAGCTGCTCGCTCCACTCCCACAGGCAGGGGGGGGG